ATATATATATACGCTGTAAAAAAAACTAATTTTACAGAAAATATCCTTAAATTTTTTACAGTAATTTTTTGTCATTTCACATTATATTCAAAACTTAGTAAAATGACAACCAATCTCTCTAAATTAACCATTTGACTGTCATTTTAGGCACTTTATTATTAAAGACAAATTACTGACATTTGTGTTTTTTATACAGGGAAATTACAGTATTATTTATACAGTATTTTTTCTGTTATTTTAAATTATATTCAAAAGTTCGTAAAAATTACAAACATTATTAGTAAATTAACGGCTTGACTGTTATTTTATGTACTTTATAAGTAATGACAAATTACAGCAATTTGTCTGTTTTTTTAAAAAAAAAAAGACATACTAGTGTTTTTTCCTGTTTTTTAAGTACATTTAAAATTACGTAAAATTAAAGTAATAAATTGTAATTACTGCCTCTGTAAAAAAAACAAACAAAGTAAAAAAAAGGTTAAATGACTGGCAGCTACGGCTGCCAAACAAAAACCATAAAATTAAGGTAAAATTTCTTTGTTGAAAAAAAGTGCATAAAATAAAAAATCTACAGATATTTTCATTAAAATGTTTACAGAAAAACACTGTTATTTTACAGACTTTTCCTAGATTATTACTATCAAATCCATTTAATAAAGTAACACACTAAGAGTGCTCACATACACCTGTTTTAGATTCCGCTGATTGCACACACACAGTCAGAGGACTGTTAAGAACTGATTACATGCACTTTAAAAGCAGCACAGACGCACGCGCCAATTGCCTAGTCTTGTTATACTGCTACTGTGAACATTATGACGCGTTTCTCTTCTTTTGCCTTGCTTTGTTTGTTAATTGTTTATGTTGTTTGCTGCCGGGACTGACCATTTGCCTGTTATTTGACCATGATTCTGGATTCCCTGCAAAATGTTACATCTATTTGCCCCTGTGATGACTGTTGCTCGCCTTTGGATCTGCACCCATTTGTCAGGGTCTCCTTCATGTTACAGTTCCATTTTATTTAAGATCTGTAACTGAATCATTCCATATAACTTAAACCTCTACACATTTTACATAAACACTATTTAATAAAATGTAACAACTGTAATTTTAAAGTTGTGAGAATTTTAATCAGTTGTATCTCGTTTGTTGTTTTTTCCAAAAATTTTTGATCCAAAATAAAACTGTTAAATAACGATCATGAGCATGTCTTGACATGTTATTAAAGGTGTTTAATTGTAATGATTTAGGGAAAATTCTTTTAAATAACATTGTTTTCTCTTGAACTTTTAGTGCAGGCACTTTATTGATGATGTTTGATCATAATAATCGAGAAAAAGTCTGTATAATAACAGTGTTTCTTCGTAAAACACATATAATACATATATATATACATATATATATATATATATACATACATACATACATACATACATACATACATACATACATACACACACACACACACATACACACACACATACATACATACATGGACATGATTATGGACATGGTCAAGACAATCTGATTTAAGTGACTTTGAATGTGGCATGGTTTTTGGTGCCAGACGGGCTGCTCTGAGTATTTCAGAAACTGCTGATCTACTGGGATTTCACGCATAACCATCTCTGGTGGTGGTGTAATAGCGAAGGGGGTCCAATACGGTACTAGTAAGGTGTACATAATAAAGTGGCCAGTGAGTGTATATATTCACAACACATACACAGAGAGAGAGAGAGAGAGAGAGAGAGAGAGAGAGAGAGAGAGAGAGAGAGAGAGAGAGAGAGAATCACCATACAGTATAAATAGTGTGGACATGTAATATTTTTGACTAAGAAAACAAATAAATTTGACAAAATTGTTTTTTTTTTTCTCAGTGTAAGATCTTTTTACTAATAAAAGGAATCATTTTGTGCTATGAAAATGTTTAATGTATGTTATAAATTATAGACATCTATGTCAATAACTATATTTCAATTAATATAGGTAACAACCCACATATAAACATTTAGAAAGAAAGGCAGACGTTGGTAGCGCGCGACAGAATGTGACGTCAGCAGTGGGGCTTCTTTCCTTCTATTTGGGAAAAGCGCGAGCTGGGTTGCCTGATGCAGAGAGAGAAAGCGCAGCGCGCGCATGGAGAAAGAGAATCCTACACGGTAAGTTCTCGCACATTTTCACCGCAAGCTATCGCATTTTTTGGATGTAGCCTTTGCTTTTGTTTTTTTATATAAATGTGTATGCTACAGGTGTAGGTATACAGTAATTTTTTTAACCTTACCTTTAAAACAAAGTTGTATAAATAATACGCGCAACCGCGCTCCAAGTTTCTCAATGTGCATAATCTGTTTCCTGCAGAGTGTAAATGTTTCGTATCACTCTCAGATCTCGTGATGTGCAAAGAGACAGATGAAAGACATCGACCACCTTAGACTCGTGGAGAGATCTGCGAAAGCACAAGAGCAGCTTTATAAAGTAAAGCACTTTTCCCCGGAGGCTCAGCTGTCACAGTATGGAGAACATCACGAGCCCCTTTATCCCAAACCCGACATGCAACTTCAGCATGGACTTATACTATCACAACTCTTTCAACCGGAGCGATCTGAACTGCACACCGCCGGCTGACTACTTCTTTTACGCAGATCTGTACGTGGTTCTCCCGGTCATTTACTCCGTGATATGCGCCGTAGGTTTGACAGGGAACACGGCGGTCATATATGTGATCCTCAAAGCACCCAAAATGAAAACGGTGACCAATATGTTCATTCTAAACTTGGCGATTGCCGACGACCTCTTCACTTTAGTGCTGCCCATCAACATAGCGGAGCATCTGTTACACTACTGGCCGTTCGGTGAGGTGCTCTGCAAGATCATCTTAAGCATCGACCACTATAACATCTTTTCGAGCATCTACTTCCTGACGGTAATGAGTGTGGACCGGTACCTGGTGGTCCTCTCTACTGTGCGCTCCAAGCGCATGCCGTACCGCACATACCGGGCAGCCAAGATAGTGAGTCTGTGCGTTTGGCTGCTGGTGATCCTCATCGTCATGCCGTTCTCCGTGTTTGCGGGAGTTTACATCAGTCCCGACGACACCGAGAGGAAAAGCTGCGTGCTCAGTTTCCCCAGTCCTGAAAGTTTATGGTTCAAAGCGAGCCGGATTTACACTCTCATACTAGGCTTTGCCATCCCTGTGTCCACAATATGCATCCTTTACACCATGATGTTGTACAAACTAAGAAACATGCGCCTGAACACCAACGCCAAAGCGCTGGATAAAGCCAAGAAGAAAGTGACTATCATGGTGTTTATCGTACTGGCCGTATGTCTGTTCTGCTGGACGCCCTTTCACCTCAGCACCATCGTAGCGCTGACCACTGACCTGCGGACCACACCGCTTCTCATCGGCATCTCGTACTTCATCACCAGCCTGAGCTACGCCAACTCGTGTCTGAACCCGTTCCTCTACGCCTTCCTGGACGACAGCTTCAGAAAAGCCTTCAAGAAGATGCTAGAATGTAGACCGGCTTGAATGTAACGCATTTCAAAGGGACGAAATATCCGGGGTTATACAGGATCTTCGCTCCAAATGTCTGGATTTTAATTTGGTTGCAAACAGAATGCAGTGTATGCCTTTACAACTGAAATTCAAGGGAATTAGTATTAAATAGCCTAATACTAATGTGTTTTAACTTAAAATCTGGAAAATGCCTGTCAAAACTGACAGTATGGAAAGCTGATCATAATATTTGGCAATTTCACAACTTATTTTTTTATATTATTTTATTTTTAAATATTGTCAATACAATTTAGTTTAATGTAGTACATGCCACATATTTTACAAAAACAGTGCTGACTAAATGTAGCAAATATGTATTCAAAACATTAGCCAGCCCTGATTAAAGTACAATTATGTTCATAACTGAATACTGGTATAATCTCAACATGATTTTTATTTATTTATTTATTTTTATTTTTTTGCTGTTATTATAAAATCAGTGTAAATCCAGTTCAACAACCTGTAGTTTGAGGCCAATTAAATTCAAATTCAAGTATTTTTTCAAGGTTATTCATTTTTTATGCTAAATTTGGCTCTGCCATGATCAAAATACATTTATGATCAATCCTGACAGAATATTATTAAAATCACTGTCATATTAAATTCAGTATCAGATGATTTGTGTTTATATGAACACTTCTAAACTTTGCACAATCCTGATTTTAATAAATCAGTACAACTACAGATTCCCTGTGTTTCCCCAGAACTAAAATAATTTTCCTGACATTAAATTCTATGTGAGAGTTTGTCTCCCTCATGTGTTTCTGGAGCGCATGTCTGTGATGAAATGAAGCTGAAATGTTTGTCTGACAGCAGTGCCCTGGAAGCTTGGATTAGGAATGACAAAAGTGTGATATCATGGCTGACGTAGCTTGATATCAAGTGTTTCTCAAACAGCAGGGGCTCCTGTGTATATATTTGTATAGACCTGCTTTTGTCTCATGAAAATGTCATCACCCCAGCATCATTTTAGCAGGTTTGAGAGAGTCGATTAAAAATGCATTGCCTTTCCTTTAAACAAATGAATATACTGTAAATGTGAAACATTTTTGTTTGTGTATATCAAGAGGCTTTGGTGAAGCATACTATGTTACATGGCTTTTTAAATACATGTAAATAAAATGGAATAAACCATTTGTCTTTCATTTAGTGTGATGCAGGTGTCAGATACAATAAAAGTTTCCAGAATGTAGAAAAGTATAATATATAATATATTATACAGTTGAAGTCAGAATTATTAGCCCCCCTGAATTATTAGCCCCCCTGAATTTTTTAGCCACCCTGTTAATTTTTTCCCCAATTTCTGTTTAACGGAGAGACGATTTTTCAACACATTTCTAAACATAATAGTTTTAATAACTCATTTCTAATAACTGATTTATTTTATAGCTGTCATGATGACAGTAAATTATATTTTAAAGGGGCTAATTTTTTGACCTTGAAATGGTTAAAATTAAAAACTGCTTTTATTCTAGCCAAAATAAAACAAATAAGACTTTATCCAGAAGAAAAAAAATATTATCAGACATACTGTGAAAATTGCCTTGCTCTGTTAAACATCAATTGGAAAAAAAAAAAAAAAAAAAAAAAAAAATAATATATATATATATAT